TAAAAAAATTTTTGTTAAAAATTTTTATCATAGATGAAAATTTCCAAAGTTACTATGTTTTATTATAAAAATAATCACATGTTGCATTATTTATGATTGCCAGTGTATAAGGTACTTAGCAAACAAGGGCATGACATTACTCAGATAGATTATGGTACTAATACTCTGTACTGACTAACCACTCAGATAAATTATGGTATATACTAATATTATTATTATTTTGTTGCCTTTGCCTTATCAATAAATAATAAAGGTGAGAGTATGAATGGGCGCACAGCTAAAATATTTATTATAATGCAAAAGTAAAAATAGTACTTTACAGAAAAGGGATAAATATAAAAAACATGAATAAAATAACGAATTATACAGGGAACAAGAGAGAATGTCGTTACAGTAATACTGAGAATATATATTTGTATTGTATATAGATATATTTTTAAACCAGTAAAAAATAATTTCATTTAATAAAATTAAACTTTATTTCTAAACAAAGTTTAATATTAGCTAATTCGGGAATACCCGGAAATAATCCAATATCGATTTCCGTATAAAAGATAGGCTATTTAACTTAGGCAATCACTGCATGATAAATTATTTGTTTGATAGACAAATGCCTAATTTGCCCTTAAGAGGGTAAATGAGAAAGTAGTACGTACGTACGATAAATTAAGCCTAATTTAAATTTAGGACGAATCATAGTAATTATGAGTGCATATTATTATGATAACAAAAAATTGTTTTTAAAATAAAGTTAATTTTTTTATAAAAAATAATTGCTACAAATTAAAGAAGTAAAACGGCTCGAGCGGCTTTCATAATAACTATCATAAGATTGATTAATCAATAGTGCCGAAGAACTGATTTTGACCTCAATTATAATCCCTGTATACGTGTACAGTATAATAGTACCTTGTTACATCAACTGCAGTGTAACTTGCGAACCGAGATTTATTGCTAAGAATGTAAAGCTCTTCACTATGCTTCATACAACAAGTATCATGATTTTTTTAAGAAAAATTATAATTGAACATATTATATATGATACACGAGTATTGGTTTACAAATCTGTATAACATAGCAATCAAAATTTTCATAAAATGAAATTTTGATTCTTGCTTGCGGTTAAAGTATGTTTGGATGTATAGCTCATAACAAATTTACAAGAAATTTTTTTTTTTTCTTTCTTTCTTCTTTTTGTTAGAACACGAAAGATAGTTTCATAATCTCGGAATTTTTAGATATAATCAATTTTTTGAAAAATGCAATATTTTTAAGTTACACTTGATCGTGCAATTTAATTGGCTTTCTATTGTCCACGTATATGTTGTGCGTCAAACTAAAGTTTGCGTCAGATCAAAATTTAAATATTGAGGGTTAGGGTGAAATCCTATGTTAGAGTAGGAGTAGGTATTATAATTATTTATCTGACACATTTTAATTTGAAGTACAGTTAGTGTACAAAAGAAATTAATTAATGTAATACACAATACACTAACGTTTAATTACTTTCTAAATATTTTTGTTAGTGAAACTTTAAACCAACATATAAAAGGTAGTATTTAAATACAAAGAAAAATGTTTAATTAACAATATAATTTTAATTTTGCAAGAAAACGAAGTTTTAACCTTTTTGAAATAATTTAATGATGACTCATAGAAAAAATGGGAGTTCGTTTATCTAAAACTAATCGAAATATAAATAGTTTCGATACAAATTCGCAATTTGTTTTCTCATCAACTGGTATACCTAAAAAATTCGATCGTGAGGAAGAAAATCAAGGATTAAATCATTGCCTTATTAGAGAGCTTTTTAAAGGAAATTTTTCTTCTCCGATTAGGGAGAGATTAAATAATGGCGGACTAACGATATTAGATGTCGGGTAACTGAGAGCTATATGTTAAACATTAAAAGGTTCATTATTTATAAAAACGGAATTTTATTGATTTATTTAAACTATTTTGTTTTTATAGCTGCGGTTTTGGTAGCTGGCTGTTCGAAATGTCATCAGATTTCAAAAACTGTCAATTTATTGGAGTGGATATAACACCTCAACATTTTATTGCTAATAAGCCAAAAAATGTGAATTTTATCACTGCAGACATTACTAAAGGACTTCCATTTCGTGAAGAATTATTTGATTTTATTCACATTCGAGGCATAGTTCTTGATTTACGAGATAAAGAGTGGGATTTCCTGATACAGGAATGCGTTCGAGTTTTAAAGCCTGGAGGCTATATTGAGGTGAGATTTAAGATACACATTTTTACATTTTTTTTTTTTTAAATGCATGTTAACTTTAGATATAACATTCTTTTTTATTCAGGTAACTGAATGCGAAACGAAATCAAAAAATCTCGGTCCTGAAATGGAAAAGTTTGCATTAAAATGTAAGAAAATGTTAATCTATATAAATTTATTAATATATTTTATCACTATATTATATATAAAGCTACTAATATCTTTATATAATAAATATAAATAGTCAGAAGTTACTTTGCCGAAAGAAATATAAGCATATTAATTGTTAATAGAATTGAAGATATCATGAAATCTAATAACTTACAACATGTTGTTCATTATGAACGTCCCTTTCCCGTTGGAACATGGAATAGTGATTTTGGAAACGCGTTTCAAACATTCAATGTGGAATTATTGCGCTCTGTGGTATCAGTATTTGCCGCCCCAAAAGATCGTGATAGTCTGCTAAATAATCTTATAGCAGAGTGCAACAAGTATCGAACTTATTACAGTATCCATAAATTTTTTTCGCAAAAGATTTAAAATTTAAACTGACTCATTCTTTTACTTCTTTTACTAAACTTTCTTGCATATTTAAATTGATTCATTCTTTTACTAAATTTTTTAGCTAATATTTAATTAACTAAATATAAATGAATAAGAATTTAAAAAAAAAAAAATTGCTAAAAAATAATAATTGGATTTAAATTTATTTTAGATTCATTAGTTTTTTTAAAATTTTAGTTTTGAAGTAGGTAATTCCTCCAAATCAAGTTAAATTACAGAATCTCTGAATTTAGAAAGATTAACCAATTTCAATAAAGAAAGTAATTACATATTAAGCTTTCTATTGTAATTTTTACAAGATCAAAATTGTTCTTTAACTACTTACCAGGATCGTTTACAATTACAATATAAGTGCTCCATTAATAAAATGCAATATTAATTAATTGATGATTGAATTGGATTAATTATACTGAAAAAGACTCAGAATATTTTTTGTCAAACCCCAATCTATTTGAATGACCATCCAGATTACCCAATGCCTTGCAAGTCGTCTTAATTGAATTTTGATTTGAATTGTAGTTATAACACAAAAATATAAAATTTATACATATGGGGGTGAGTCAATAGAAATCAACCAAATTTTTTATAATAAAATTTTTTATAACTTTAAACAAGAATAACTTGACAAAAACTTGACCAAATTTAATAAAAATTTTTTTAAATAATTTTTACAAACTTGTAAAATTAATTTAAAAAAAATTTTATTGAATTTGATCAAGTTTTTGTTAAGTTATTCTTGCTTAAAATTTTAAAAAAAAAACTTATTAAAAAATATTTGCTTGGTTTCTATTGACTCAACCCCATATGTCGCACGATTAACTGTTTACTGTTTATCTCAATGGATATGAGTACAGCACTTTGTAGATAAATAATAAGGTATTGTTGTTTAAATCAGGAATGGATGAACCAATAAAATTCAAAGTTCTGAAAATTCAAAATTTAACATAACGAAAGTTCGATTTTATTGGTTGTGTTGTTTGTTTATATTGAAAAAAATACGGTTACACGACCTTTTTATATTGTTTACAATAAAATTTTTATCAAAAAAAATAAATAAATAAATTTCATAAGTCATAACATATTCTGATCCAGTTTGATCCCAACCGCTAATATAACCTGTCTTTCATATAAGCAGTTGGGATCAAATTGGTCACGATTTTTTTTTGATAAAAATTCAATTTTAAGCAATATAAAATGGTTGTATAACGGTATTTCTTTCAATAGAAATAGCAGCCAATAAAATCGAACTTCTATAATTGATAATGCATATCGATATCAAAAGTGTACGTATTAGTAATCTTTTGGTTAATTTCGTGTTACCTTATCCTGTAATCTACATAACAAATAAGTACGTACGTACTTTTTTGATTTGTATCACGGGAAATAACGATAAGGGCGGACGCATACCACCGGAAATCTATCCTCTTTCGTTTTACTTTGTAAAACTCCCCCTAACATTTATAATAATATTGTATGGTAGAATATTTCTTAATTTCATATTGAATGGAAAATACTATAACTGATAAACAAGCGAAATTATGTAATTTGGTTGTACTGTAACTATGTTTACATGAAATATGCCTTTTTTTAATAACATCATAGAGCACTACCATATTCGTAATATGTAGTAATCTATTAATTGGTACGTATTGCGCTATTTGACATAAAAAATTGAAAAAATAGTTATTAGCAATTATAAATCATGCTGTGCGTCAAAATCAGTAAGTACTGTACATATCTGTGTTATATTAATCCATACCTATATCGATTAAGTAGAAATTCTGTTTATTGAAAATAACTGTTACATTTTTACATGTCTTAAGGGTAGGTAATGGTGCACTAAATATAGTGCACCAGCTGGCGCGCCAACACGGATATGGCGAGACAAACATATTTAATTTGGTTCATATTATGTATTATAGAAGTATGAGATAACTAGTGCTATGCTAACTCAAATTAAAGTTTGGATCCCAAATCAAACAAATATTTGACCAATCTAATTTAATCGAGTTTGTTAGCATGTGACCATAATAGTGCTCAACAGCTTACATAGCGTCGCCTAGGAAAAATGGTAGCCGGAAAAATTTGCCGGTTTCGGATGTTTTGGATATTAATATTCGGTAGTGATAATTGAATACCCGATCAATATACTTAACAATGGAAAATTGTTTATTTGTTATTAATTAATAATACCGATACGTAATCATTACATACGTATACGTATGATATTAAAATTTTCTTTTATGTTGATTATTACTATTATATGTATCTATCCTCTCTTACTTTCGTTATACGTAGCAATTCATATTTTTCTACTATTATATCTAACATACGAAAAAAAAAATTCAAAGCTTATTCAAAAAAATTTTCAATTTATTCAAGAAAAAAAAAATATTATAATAATACCGTACAAACAGATATATTAATAATGTCAAATCCGCAAAGCGAAACTTGTATCGGGTTCCATGCTATTCGAAATTCTGATGAATTCATAAATGAAAAAGGAAACTTTGTAAAAAAATGTTTTCAAATGCCAAAATAATATTAGAATTTCTCGATCAAAAAATAAAGAAAATCAATTTGATTCAATGATTAGCTATTTGGAGATTACAGACACCATATATAGCTCTTTTACTTCTTTAAATAATACAAACAAACATTATAAAGGAGAAAACGAAGAGCTAATTATGAATTTTAATGTTGAGCTATTGTCTTTTGCAGATTTTATTTTAGAACAAGACAAATCACAAAAAGAAAATATAAATTCTAAAATAAATCAGCAAATAATATCTTTTATTTCAGAAGGTGATGGTTATTTATGGGTCTATTGAAATAAATACCAAAAAAAAAATTCTTTTTTTTTTATATATTATTGTAATTGTTGAATTGAACTTGGGAAGCGACAAGCAAAGCATCCTGTGCAAGATAAACAAAGAGATATACCAACATTCTTAGAATGATTTAATTGCGAAGGAATAATAACAATTGAAATTATTTCTATATCAAATGTAATTAAAATTAAATATTCTTATAAAATGTTGTATCCTAGACCACAACATACAAGAACAACTCAAAAAATTCAAGATTTTATTTGAAGTAATATTAATTGCATAGTTTCTGAATTTGGTATCAGATTCGGGAAAATCAAATTGAAGGATATGATTATATAATAGTTTAACAAGTATATTATTGGTGGTCCATCGAGTCTCACAAACTATATCAAAATGATTCCAATCCTTTATTATTAGCAAAATACTTACTAAATAAGTTAAATCAAGAAATCCTTATAGATATTAATTTATCTACACCTGCTATTGGATTTTTAATAGCCTTGTTTCACCATCTATTAAACAATAAATTTGATACAATTGAAATTGATGCAACATTTGGCACTAATAATTCAGGTTGGGAGTTATATACTATGATGGGTGTAATTGATAGTACTAGTTTTCCTCTTAGCTATCTTCTAATTTCAGCTAAAAAAATTAAAATATAACAGAAATTTTTATACAATGAATACAAGCTTTAAAGAATTGAAATTTAAAAGGATTTTCTTTTATTTTAACAGATAAAGATTTTGCTGAAATCAGCATAGCACAGATTATGTGGCCTGAAGTTTGCTTACAATTATGCATTTGGCATATCCATCATGCAATAAAACAATGATTAGCATTCAACAAAGCAAGTATTTATTATTTATATAATTCAAAACTTGCTTATAATAAATGTCCAACTATAGATCCTAATTGGGGAATTATAAGCGATTCAAATATACAAGTATTTTATCCTCTAAACTTGCAGGAAAGTATACTTAATCTTATAGAAAAACATTCAAATCAATAGGAAAAATGTATTAGCAAGATGATGCTGTTTTGTCAAAATAATAATCTACTTAAATTATGGATATATTTATGAAAAGAATGGTATTCTAAGAAAAAATGAAATTTATAGGCTCGGGCAGCTAGTGAAAGTATTAGTCTTATCAAAACTACAATGATAGTTGAGTCGCATTGGTGACATATCAGGTGTGATTATTTATATAAATTTTATAAACTATGAATTGATTATTTATGTTACATTCTTGTAAAAAAGGTAATTAATCAGCAACTATATCAGCTTAAATTACTTCAACAAGGTCATTATACAGTACTATGATGAAAGGAGTTTAAAAAAGAATGGAGAAATCTTGAAAAAAGTAAACCAAAAACAAATAAATATTTTACCAATCCTATTGGATAGACATGTGCATGCCCTGCATTTATTAAAAGCAGTTTCTTTTTATACAAACACTTAGTCAATTCTGTTGAAAAAGTTGATGCAATATTTTTTAAAAAGGTCAATAAATAACCTTATATATGAATTTATTTTATATTTTTATTTTACTAATTTAATATAACAGGTACAAAGAAATAGGAATTACTTTTTAATTTCAACTTACCAAGGTGAACTAGTAAATATATTTTAATTTGGAGGTTCCTTGACTCAGAGAGTTTCAAATATTTAATTAATTCAAGACTCAGTTATTGAAAATAAAAACTGTTATATAATTGAAAGCGATGATGAAACACAGGATATATATGAAGATGATTTGGCTTATCTACTTGGAATCTAAGATAAAATATATTTAAAACTTTATAATTTATTTATAGTATGTTTTATTGATATCAATTTTTTTATTGTATTCAAAACAAAAAAATTATTAAAAGAATCGTGTAATAAAACAATGAGACATTTATGGTTAAAAAAGATTTACTCAAACTTCAAGCTATTAGAAAAAATGAATTATGATATCATGAAATTAAAAAATCATTGAACTATGCCAGAAACATGGAAAGACTTTAATAATAACACACAGTATTGGGAATAATAGGTGAATGCCTATTCTAATGGTATGTAAAATCTGCAAAAATTAATATTTACCAGACACAAAAAAGTGTTGATATTGCTATATTGACAATGCAAAATTGCACTTGCTTAAGTATTTAAATAGTTAAAAAAAATTTTATTTAAATGTACTGTATATCGAAAGCCAAAGTTTTTTTTATGCTGTCACTATATAAATAGT